AGTACCAGACACTGTACACAGAGAATAGGAAACACTCCCTTGTGAAGAGTATCACCACAACATAGTCACGATGATAGCGTTTATGGCAAAATGCCACCAATCACTGGCCATCTGATAGCACGGATAAAGTGGTGGTCGTATTACTATCACGATACTCTATGATCAAATTTTCGAGCCACTCCTGTAGTATGACCAGGGGTACTACAGTAATACCCCTGGTCATACTACACCACGGTAAGGCTCCTACCCCAGAGGTAATACTATTACCTCTGGAGTAGGAGCACTGCCGATACACCGGCACATCAGTGGCTATTCGAAATACTCGTATAAGTACTCCAACTACCCCACCACGTTCCTGCTTTTACGACAATCTCCTCACAAGCTTGCCAGAAACGCTGCAACAGACTAACAAATACAAGAAAATTTATGACAGGGAGATCCGAGTCGAGCAATACACTCCCACACTTCTCCTACGCTGGTTTCCGGCCCTCCTACCAGAGAGAGCCCACAGGATCGTACACCAGGGCCAAGTTCAATAGAGTGCCAACACAGAAAAATGTAACAGGATTATAACCTCCTGAATCAATAGGAAAGATGCTAGGAACGACCGCCCCCCCACGCGACAGTGCTTTACTTGACACAACATCACCAGCTGAGTGGAGACGGCAGCATGAAGATTTGCGACATCAAGATGTTATTAAAGTTGCTGTCAGTTTTGAGGATATCGCTAACAGAATGGCACCATAATCCAATTTGAACTGCAGCAAACTCACCCATTTTCATACGCCTCGCCAAGATAAGGAAAGACGCGAAATCAACATCTCCATCATTATCTGCAATAGCCGACTCTAGCCCATCACCAAAGACCTGTCACCATCAGTGTCACCACACATGAACAGTCCAGCCTGACCAAAGACGTAGCCCTACCTCTCTCGAGAAGTCATCTCGGTCCGCTCCTTCTGTGCACTCATGCTCATTCTCAGACATCGGCGAATGATCTACACACCTCATCAATCATCGTTGCGAAGGTCAAAATTGAAGACAGCCTCGCCGCCCAAACTACGCTATGATATCTTTCAGTGCAAGCCTGAGCTCAGCGAGGCTAACACGACCAGTGTGCTCATGATCGCGGTCCTCGAAAGCCTCTCGGTACTTTACTATCTCAGCCTCCGAGAACGGCAGCAGGGGACGGACCTGAGCACAAGATCATAACTGTATCAAACCGCGTGGTTGAGTCGAACCTCACTGAAGCGATGTTGTTCTCTCGTCAATCGCCACACCTCCGCCTTGAACAGATCGTAACGAACAACTCTGGTGCTGTTGGTATCGGCGCACAGCTTCTCAAGGATAGCCACAAAGCGAGCTCTCGATAACGCTGGCCCACCAGGTGGGAAGCCAAGCTTCGTGAACGCCTATAGTGAGAGACAAATTGCCTCTAGGAAAACATGGCAACTCCTATACCACCTCTTCGACACTTCGAGCGAGAATGGTGAGTTCTAC